AACAATTTATATTTTTAATATAATATTAAAAAAAATCTTACACGCGTGGAATCTGCGACATCACATGATGACGTTTGGCCAGCTGCCCTAACTTTTAACAACATCATATGATGACGTTCGTCCGATAAAGGTTAAAAGTGTCGTATGCTGTATTCAGCTATGTGTCTGTTGCTACAGAATGCCACACATCATTTCAGCTGATTCTTCTATTATTGGTTAGATTCGTTTGTGTTAACTGTTTCTTAAGCATGAATTTATCTTCCTTCTTATTTCCAGGATGTCAGTTATTACTGTTGTTGTGTTGTCTAATTTAAGTGGCATAGACCACAGAGCAGAGTGTACCACATAAATCAGACAACACAACAACAGTAATAATCGACATCCTGGAAATAAGAAAGAAGATAAATTTGTGCTTAAGAAACAGTTAACACAAACAAATCTAACCGATGGTCAAGGCTGAAATTAGCTTAGCTACATGTTTCTGCTGTTAAAGCCATCATCAGGCAAACACATGATTACCATATACACACTATTTTTGTCCATTATTACAATGGTTTTCCTTTTGTCTGCCTACTCTTTTGTAAAAATGTTAAGACTTCAACATTTTAAATATTTTATTCATACATACAATTTGTATATTTGTATTTAATATATCCCCCCAAAGATGCATATTTATGGTTAAAACATGTCAAGGTTTGAATAATATTAAATCAACATAGCAGAATAAATTAGGTGTACTTATTTTGATCAAAATTACCGTTTTTAAACAGCAGACTAACCATTTATACAGCAGGCCAAGTTCTCTTTAAGTTCTGTCCTCAGCTCTTCTTCACTAGCCTGCACATTCTCCAGTAGATCCTGGAATGTATATAACTTAATTCCAGATTGTGCTATATAATCTTCATATTCAGGACCACGATAGAGGCATTCCTCCAACAACTGTCGCACTTTCCGGAGCCTTGGTTTACAAGTCCTAAGTTCATAATACTTATGAAACACTCCTAGTACCTGTTAATGAATGCAACAAATGTATTATCACCTGAAACAGATTCATATGTTTAAGTCTCTATTTTATATGGCAAAAACTATAAGGGGCAGTCAAATGAAAATGGGTCACCATGCATAATTCACACAGCGTGCAAGTTGGTAACACTAGAATTTGCTTATGGTACGAACATCTGGTGGGGACTTGGAAAAGCATAGTGACAATGTGCCCTTGCACACTAGTCATTTGTTTATTGTGCTGAAAGTAAGGTTAGCACTACATGTGGTCGTCCAACATCAGTAATGGAGGCAGGTAAAGAAGAACAGCAAAGTGTAGTGCGCTTTTGACTGCTGAAGGAGTAGGATGACAAGAAATTCATCGTCACATGTCTGTTGTTTACGGCGAACACAGCATGTCACATTCACATGTGCTGGCATGGCATAAGAGATTCTGAGAGGGATGTGTGCCACTCCCAGATGATGCTCGCCCAGGACAGGCTCATCGTGACATCACTCCTTATGTTATTGCTGCATTATATGGTCATATCTGGACAAACCGACAGATCACTGTGGAAGAAATTAGTTTCTTGATGGGAATAAGTCATGGTTCCGTACACGGCATTGTGACAAAACACCTGCTGTACCGCAAAATCTGCGTGCAGTGGGTTCCACATTCACGATGGGCATTCTGAAAATTCAATTTAGGAATGTTTAACATTATAATTCATTGACCCTATGGTGGCACGCGGTAGCATAGTTGGTTTTGGCACTGTGCTACAAGCTGAAAGGTTATGGGTTCAATGCCCGGTTAGGTCACTGGATTTTTCAATTTACCTAATCCTTCTAGTTGCACTATGGCCCTGGGGTCAACTCAGCCTCTAACATAAATGAGCACCAGTATTCCTGGGAGGTAAAGGGCGGCCGGTGCATAAGGCTGACAACCTTACCACCATCTCTGAGTCACATATCTAGAAAATGTGGGAGCCTCGACCTCTCACAAACACATGAGCTTCCACAGCCTGTAACAGGGATAACTTTACCTTTACCATGCCTATGGTGCATTATTTACATGCCATCTGGTACATTAAACTGTTGCCACATCTTCATTGGATCTCAGAATTTTTTCTTTGAAATAAAAATGGGAAAAGATGCATACCACATCTTCCCATATATAATACATATAAAGTAAAGCTATCCCCGTACCAGGCCGTGAAGGCCCATAGGGTTGTGAGACGTTGAGGGTCCCACATTTTCTAGACAATCGGCTCAAAGATGGCGGTAAGGTTGTCAGCCTTATGTGCCAGCCGCGCTTTACTCCCCAGGAAAATTATTTAATTAATTTCTGGTACTCATTTCTGTTAGAGGCTGAGTAAACCCCAGGGCCTAGTGTGGCTGGAAGGATTAGGTCAAACAACAAAAATGTAATATTATTCCAGTACTCAAATTTTAACAATGATGTGTGACTACAGAACTTTGAAAATCTGAATATGAACAATGATGGATTTAGAGGTAACTGTTTCATGACCACCTGCTCATCAAAGAATTGCATTAAATGCCAGAATCTCATTTCTGGGAGGGAAGAGGGATGCACTACCTAACAGCGAAACTGATGTTATGATATAACAGGATCTTCAAATCGTTCATCCTACCTTTCAATTATAGCCTTTACTGAAATGATATGGTATGTGAACTAAATCTTCAAAGCATGGAAATTTGTTTCCTGTCTACATCAATATTAGAAAGTTATAGTCAACATATCATGAGAACTGTGGAGGACAAAAAGAGAATACTAATATGCTACAACTGTTTCAACTTGTCCATTACTTCATATTTTATCTGAGAGTACTAGGTCCCAACACAACTGGCCATGGTATTGTAAAGACATACACAGAAATATATAAATTTGTGATGAGATTCTTCTGAGATCATTTTTAGAAGCTTCCATCAGGTATTAAAATATTTAGTTCTCATAAAAAGAAACTTTTAACTTCCTAACTGTAACTACTAATTACGCAACCTATAGAGCTTAAGAAGTAAGTTTTACAAATTTATGTCTCGCAACATTATCTATCATCCTGTCTTTATCTAAAACACCACCCTGCTTTATCTAAGAACATGTTTTGGAGACCGGATTCTGTCTCCATCTTCAGGTGAAACCTACTCAATTGTGCCTAATCAATAGAGTAAGTGCTTATCTATGAATTGCTATAAAGTTATAAATGACCATTTTCCAATTCTGTTAGACACGAAGTACATTCCCCATTCTAAAAATGCATTACCTGTTTCTCCTCCAACATCCTTCCTGCCTCATCAACATTTTGTGCAGGCCATCTAAGGTCAGGCACGAGAAGTAATGAGTTAGATGTCTCTGCCTCCTTCACATCATATGTTCGATTATGTGTACACAAAACTGCATTCTCACCTCTGGTGCCACGAAATACCAAACTAGAAGACAAAAAATTTTTATAATACATTTGCCACTCACCCACTGCTTCATACTGTCTGTTTCTTGGAGGGTAGCAGGGAATGCATGCATGCGCACACACATAAACATGATCCTACTGATTCTGGGGGAAGGACACGCATAAATAAATTCTTTGAAGTTCTGGCAAGAAATAAGAGATTGCAGCCCTAACATGGGTAGAGCAAGTTTTAAAATGATCTGAATCCTTGAACATTTGTTTACATGTCTTGGATGGATAATATGATCACTGTTATCAGGTAAACCTGGAGTCAAAACTACGGTGGTCCCATTTTCTACTTCATTGCCAATTTGCATCCCATTAGGGAGATCAGCCATCCTGACCAAGGTTTCTCATGATTTCCTTCGGTTTCTCAAGTAAATGGTATAAAGTTGTCCCTGTGCTTAACTAATCAAGTATTACACCACAAATATGGGGGGGTTGGAAGTATAGGTCCTTATTTTCTTGACCTCGGCAGCAGTTGGAAGTGAGTGGACAGTCATGCCCCTACTGCTTTACCCAAAGGGAAAGAGCCCCAACTATCCACTGGATAGGAGGCTGGGGGGGCCCAGAGCTGGTTTGGATGACATGGAGAAGATATAATTCTTGTTGCTACCATATTCGTGTCAGGAGCATCTCATTTTCAAAATGTATAAATGGGAGGATGTGAAATAATTCATTATGCTGCATAACGCTGACATAGAAGGGGATGTGACATATCAGTTTCCTAAATCAGGGCTGTTTCAATGCATCACATTGGCTGGGGCTCATCTTCCAATGTGATATGGTGGCCAAAGCAAGAAAGATGAACATTCTTTATGGTTGCCATCACCTTCAACAGTGTAATATTGATAACAACTGCCTTCTTGCACATGCATCATCAGCAGAAAATTTATAAAAAGAGTTGCAACAATTCCAGGAGCATGGAATTAAATGCAGTATCTGTGGTTGCAGCTACTGAAGTCGAGTATGTGAATTGCAGCCCGCCACATACATTTCTGTTACAATATTATATCTCAGCATCCTGTTGCACTCTACACGATAAATGATACAAATTCCGTCCCAAGTGCAAACAATATATATTATATGTCTTTGATCTTGTTCTCTTCTAATATATATTGTTTGCACTTGGGACGATATTTGTATCATTTAACATTTCTGTTAATTTTGGTCAGTCACTTGCCTCTTTAAGGCTCCTCTCCCTCCCTGTCCCTACCATCATCAGAATTAGAGGGGAGCTACTGAGGTATGGCAAACTGTCATACTCAGCATGAATGCATGCTTCTTCATCTGAACCTAGGTATAACTCCATTTCTATTGCCAAGTTATTGATACAGGGACATTTAAACAGCCCAATCATAGCTAACTATGGGATGAGAATTACTGAGTAGCGACACAAATTGTTGGTTTCTCTCACTCAGCTGAGCCTCAGTTCACAGTAATCCCTCGCTGAATTATTCTTATAGTGCACCTATGGGCAACAAAACCATCAGCTTGCTGTAGATTAAGCATAATTTCTCAGAATTTTCTGTCACATTTGAGTAACATAAAAAAAAGGAAAGTCTCTGTTACAAAGGAAGTGTTTATAGGGGAGGGGGTTGTGCAGAACTTAATCTCTTGTAAGGAAGCCATTTGTTTGAGTTTGTAAAAGGTAAAGTCATCCCTGTGCTTAACTAATTAAGTATTATGTCATGAAGGCAAATGGGGGAGTGGATGTGTAGATCCACATTTTCTTAACCTTGGCACTAGCTGGAGGTTAATGGTCAGGTTCACGCCCCTGCTAGGGTTCCCAGATACCCCGTTTTCCCCGGATTCTTCTGTTTTTTCACCCAAATTTTGTTCCTCAGTTTATTGTTTACCTNCTGCTTTTTTCATTTAAGTCCATTGCGAATTATATTTCATGGGTTAAATATTATCATAAAATTTCTGTAATCCTTGGAAAATTACATTGTTATAGTTTCTTTCGTTATGTTGCATTTCGTGAATGTTGGCAACACTTGAGGTTCTAAACCAAAGCAGAGGTTGTTGGTGATAGTGCATTTTTAATCCGTTCAATCTTCGCTAGAAAGTCAGTGTCAAGTTAGCAAAAATGTTTGAGGGCGAAGAAGATCCATCAAAGACTCCTCCATGGAAGAAGTTGAAATTCCAGGCCAAACATAATCAAACATATCTTAAGAAATGGGAAGATATGTTTTCGTGGGTTAAGCCGGGACCAGATAAGAACCGGGCATTTTGTACATTGTGAAGGAAGGATTTTAGTATTCTGCACAGTGGACAAAGTGACCTGAGGCAACATGCACAATACAAGGGAAATAAAATTAAGGAAAAATGCAATTCTGGAAGTTCAAATAAACTTTCAAAATATTTTGTTAATTTAAACAATAAAGAATATGACAACAGCACCGTGTGCGAACTTGGTTTAGTGTATCATGCTGTGAAACACAACTTAAGTTATTCCAGTCTGGAATGCGGAAATAAACTTGTGTCCCATATTTTCAGCAATTCCGTGATTGCTTCCAAATTTTCATGTGGACGCACTAAAGCGGAAATGATAGTGAAGTACGTTCTTGCTCCTAAAAGTATAAATGACTTTGTGTCTATTTTAAGATGTCCAGAAAATACTTCAAAATTTTTTTCATTGGCTACCGATGCATCACACAGAAGAAATCCAAAAATGTTCCCTGTTTGCATCTGGTACTTCGACCCTTTGAAGGGAGTGCAGAATAAACTTCTAGATTTTGTCGAAAGTGCTGAAGAAACGTCTATGGCAATTACTGGTTTGGTGCTGCAGAGCTTAGAAAAGCACAACTTGGATGTAAATTATGTGTCTTCTTATTGTGCAGACAATGCCAATGTGAACTATGGAAAAACACCTTCCATATATCAGTTGCTGCAAAGTTAAAAACTTAAATTTACTGAAAGCGAATTGCTCTAATCATGTCATACATAACACAATTAAGTTTGCAATTGACAGATTAGATGTTGATGTTGAAAGTGTAGTCTTAAAGATCTATAATCACTTCTCTGTCTCTGCCAAAAGAAGAGAAGAGTTAAAATCATTCTTTGAATTTCTGAATTTGGAGTGGACTGAGCTTTTGAGGCATGTTCCAACTAAGTGGGTGTCATTAACACCAGCCATTTCTCGACTGCTTCAGAACTGGGAAGCAATGAAAGGTTACTTCAATAGTATTCCCAACTGTCCAAAATTATTATCTAACATTTTCATGAAAGATGACCCAGAGGAAGCAGTGTTGCCTGAAATCTACTTTAATTTCTTAAATAATATTGGAAGTCAGCTGGAAATGGTAGATAAAACACTGGAAAGGTCTGACTTAAGTGTACTAGAGACTTACAAACAAATGAAACTTCTCAGTTCTAAAATCCAGCAGAGAAGGAAAGACAACTTTTTTGGTAGCAAAGCAAAAGAACTCATTAATGGATTGTCTATGCCATTACAGAAAAAGGTTACTGAAGACCTGAACAGCTTTTATAGCAATATGCTTCAGTATCTGCAAAAAAGATATGATGTGACAGATGACAATCCCTATGCATCCCTTGCAGCATTTTCTCTACAGGAAGGGATTGAGTTCAAAGATTTTGAAAAAGCCATAGAAGTGTTTCAGCTAAGTGAAAATGTTTGCATTGATGACCTGTACGAGGAGTTCAGCAGCCATCGAGATTACCTCTGCAACAGTGTGAACAGATATGGTGATTATGTAGCAAACTGGCTTACATTTTTTTCTTCAGTACCTGAGCATGATGTACCAAATATTTCCAAAGTGGTAGGATTTTTGTTTAGCATCCCTGGCTCAAATGCTTTTGTGGAGCGAATCTTTTCATTCATGAAAAGTAAGTGGAGTGACACAAGAAACAGATGCTCAACAGATTTAATCAAGGCAGAACTCCAGGTGACAGTGAACTATGAAAGCAAGTCTTGTTCAGAATTTTATAAATTTTCAAAGGGAGATGTTCAATTATTAAAAAGTGCTAAGAGTTCAGTGAAATACAATTAACAGAATCTGATCGACCAGCCCTTGGAAGTTATAAATATGTAGTATTTAGTATTTGTGTGTTCTACAAATGTGTGCTAGGTAATATTTTGTGCATTCTATAAATACGTATGTAATAGGGCTACGTAATATATGTTTTGTTCTATAAATGTGTAGTAGGCCTATATAATACAGATGTGTAGTAGCATTTTGTAAGTTATGTAGTATGTTGATTATGTATATTTTATAGCCTACTAAATGTGAAAAATGTCATTATAAACAAGCAACGAGACATCACTCCTTTTTTTATTTTACAAAATCTGGCAACCCTACCCCCTGCCCCCAGAAAGTGCCCCTAGTACCCATTGGATAGGAGGTTGGGTAAACCCCAGAGCCAGTCTGGATGACTTGGAGAAGAGAAAATTCTTCACCCTACTGGGACACAAACTCCGACCCCTCAGTCTTCCAGCCCAAAGCCAGTCAGTATACCGATTATGCTATCCCATAAGCCTATGAAAACCTGCAGACCATGTTACATGATATACTGATTCCTGACAACTACAGTCACCATCTGGCCACTAGCCATTTACTTTCAGTGATGGCTAAAGTTGTCATTTGGCTTTTAAAACCTAACTGGTCTTGTGGTAATGTTCATGTTCATAAATGTTACTAGGAAATGCTATTTACTGTACCGAACGTTTATTATTCTTAACTGAGGAGATAATTTCCGCAACTGATGAATATTTGTTGAATATGTTGATTGCTTGGGAATCCTTCATTTCAGAATTAATGATTACTGATACTACTTCATTACTAGGTGGTATTTTATCATCTTACCTTTTTAATATATTCCAAACATGTTTTATTTTGAGTTCATTATCTGTTTGTTGTGGTACTGTCACTTTGCTAATTTAGCAGTGACAAGGACCTTCCTTACACTAACCTAATGCCACGGCGGTTAGCCGCCTCTAATAGCATTTAAGGATTATTCGGCCATCCCAAATAAATACCTTTGTCCTCGCTGCAAATTACTGAGCAGAGTTGGGTCCAACTCTAGAAACCTGTATTTTCCTTGGGCTTCGGTCCTTGGTACAAAACTCAATACCTGCGACAGCGGCTGGAGATCACCTTCAAATAATTTTGCATGCTGAATTACGGTCTGCACATCTTCCACTGTTCGGCAATAACTGCAAAAAGAAAAGAAAATCGCTGATGGCAAAAACAGCATACACCAATATTATGAATAGCATTGTTTACATTTCGAAACCAGTACCTGCTAATTCCCGCCATTTATGATTTAACCAGTTTCATTACATCATAACCACTGGCAATCTCTTGTATTTACTGTGGCACGGATCAGCACCAAGTTCTGTGATTCCATCCTCAATAGCGAAGACTGTTACAGGAATGGAACGCATCCAGAATCACTGATCATACGCACACAGTTACTATGTTCTCACATCTGCAAGGAATGACGATTTGATCTGGAAGTTTACTGCGATGCTGTACTTCGATATAGATCCGTGACATTGTACTCTGTGCCCGTGATCCAAATAGAGAACTGCAGTGAATAAACCATTTTCGCGCGGAAAACGACCGTAAGTTGAAGGTTGTTGTATGTGGTGTAGGACGGTGTTTTGAAAAGTGTCAGTGGTTATATAAACCTGTATCTGTCCTGAGGTGTAGCGGTGAAGTGCGAATTATTTTAAAACAACTGTGTTTAATAAATTAATAATTACTGTTTCATAAGAGTTTCTGCATCGTCTATTTCTGAGGATAATGAATGGAGCTCTCGGTTGCGGAAACCGTGTGTAGTGGTGTGAATATCACACCTCCAAAATCTGCGAGGAAAAGGATTTTATTTACAGGGAGCCCTTCGGATGAAAACAGTGATGACACTTTGGGACACATGTCACCTCTGAACTCATCGTCTCCAGATCGTTATAGTTCACCTCCACCCTCTCCACAATGGCTAGTGGAAACACCACCTAGGAAGTGTGTGCTCAACCAGTCGCCTTTGGGCCCAATTCAGAGAAAAACAGAAAGCCCCAAATCTCCAAGGATTTTTTGTTTTGACCTTCATGCATCTTCAGTGCAGAAACTGCCACCAAATAAAACTCAAGGAGACAGTCGAGGACAGGATGAAAGAACAGTGGAACCAGTCACTGCTATGGAACTAGTAGAAGAAAGCCCTATAAAGGGTCCATCGAACATGGGTCTTATGACACCTTTCAGATGCCTTGCAGATAAAGAAAACGAAGATGAAGAAACCCCAAAACTAAAATCACGAAAACTAGTAATTGGAGAAAGTCCAGACATTTTTTCAGCAGCTGCACCAATAAAAATGCTTCAGAAAGGTAAACCGGATAATGAGGCAGGCACAGTGCTGAAATCTTCCCATGCCTCCACAGATGTTTGTAAATTGAGTTCACTGCCAACTTCTTTCTTTTACCATACTACTCGTGCTAGAGCAGCATTATTTACTGAACCTTTCTTCAAGTCCAAGAATACTGTCTCCTCAGTTCTCAACAGCAAGAAATGTAAGCGATCAGTAAGTGCTGAGACTCATTCACGTATATGTTTCTCTTTATCCAGATCAAGAAATAAAGTAGTAAAACGCTATAAACATGGTGAAATTAATGCTGGTGTTCACCATGGCATTAAGAAATATAGAAAGAAGTTGTTGTACAAATATCCAGTTGACTCTGCACAACCTAAGATTAGACCAGAAGACAGAATAGACTCATATTTAAACAAATTTGAGGAATCCAATAAAGGCACAAAAAATTCCGATAAAGGAAGAGATGCTCATTTTATTCCCAGTCATAGTATACAAGCACATCCAGCTGATAACAGCCTGAAGAGTTCAGGTGTTCCTTTGGCATCTGACAGGATGGAACCGATACCTCCATCAAGCCCTGTGCTGGATCCATCCAAAAAGTTTTTCAAAACTCAACGCACCTTGAAAATCAACTCAAATGCAACAGTCACTGTTGACAAGAATATCAAGTTAGTATCCTTTGCAGTTTTAATCGTACTTTATTTATTAACTGAATTTGGCAGCGTTTGAAAAATGTACTGCTCTACCTATCACATTATGGCTTACAATATTACAATACAGAAAGTATGGTGTGAGATTTCATGACTGTTGCCAGTTAGCATGACATTTCAACTGATTGCACATTCTGGAAGGAAGGTGGGGTGGTATTTTGTTGGTGTGGTTCAGTAATTTCGTTTCACATTTGTATGTGTTTTTAATATAGTTATACTGAATTCTAGTTTTCTAATGTCCTTTAATTTTTCTTTTCTCTAGTCTTTGTTCATTCCACTGAACATTTCTAGCTCTGAATCTTCACATCAGATGAGAGTGAAATCAAATGTTCATGCTTGGTTGATGTACTTCGTATTCCAACCATACAGTTATGTTAGCATGACAATAAAAGAATGCCAGAATATAAAATAAAAGTATGCATTATATTTGCACTTTCAATACTGTTACAATAAATTTGCACTTTCACATTATAGTTGAGTAAATTGACACAGATTTTTCCCCTTCTTGTCTATATGGCAGCTATCTCCTGCTCCCAACAATTGTGACTGTCTCCATACAGGTGGAGAGGGAACCAGATGGGCTGTCTTTATTCACATTATCTGTCCCATTCATTTACTGTACTGTGGTTGATGTATGTGGTTTGGGGTTGACATGTACAAGTATATCGTTCAGTTCTTGAAGGAAAGTAAATAGATGGATAATTATCACGCTTCTATAGTTTAAACTAATTATATCATAGTTACAGTCTAAAAGATATCACACAGCATACTACTAGAGACAAGAGTAAAACAAAACGTGTTGATTGATATTTTACAAACCATTGTAAGGAGGAATATAGATGAATGATTGAATGTAGTAATAGTAGCAGTGGTGGCGGTAGTATTATGTATTTTGTATTAACTATTCATGAAGAGGGTAATTCATTGATGCTTAAGTATGATGTTCAACAGGAATGACACTTTCCTTTCTCTGATTAAATATTTTTTCCCATGTGGTGGGGTGAGACTGAGTCCACTTGGTATCTCAGCCACTAATTGGCCTGTTGTACCAGCCCTGGATGATAGATGAATATGGAGCATTTGGTGGGATAAGAATTGGCAGGGGAAATGGAAACACTTAGAGGAAACCTGCCCCAATGCCTCTCTCTCCACCACAATTCCCACATGACTTGACCTGGGATCGAACCCAGGCCACTACAGAAGGAAGCCAGTGACTAACTGCCTGAGCTATAGCATGGCCATATTCTCTGATTAAAATTATGCTTGAATGATGCTCTGAGCATCAGAATTCTACCTGTATAATGATAGATTCAAAGTTTTTGATCTATATCTGTATTGGAAGAAAAGGCCAGCCAAAGGAAAGCAAAAGTTATTTTTTCCCCAGAACTCCCAGTGTTTATATAAAAAATCACCAGATATTATTTTATTGCTAGCCTGTGTGTGGTGGGGAAAGGATAGGGTAGTTGGGGCAAGGTACCTTACTTGTTAATAGCGTGTAAACTGATATAATTTCCTCATTCCTGAACTTCCAAGTTTAAAGTAACGTTCCTTTCAATTATTATATTTGGTTCTTACTATAATTATAATAGTTTTTCTTCTTGTTGATGGCAGGTTGAAGGTCAGTAATGGTAAATTCTTCCTCAGTAAGCCCAATGCAAAATCGAGGTCATGCAAATTTCCAAAAAAGGATTTATTGGAGTCTTGCCAGAATAGGAAGGAATTTGCTGAGAACAGCATTGCTGAAGTAGTGCAAGAAAGAGTCCATGACAATGTTGAAATCCTGCTGAAGAACTTGGAAGAGATTTCAGAGAAGGACACTCTGCCAGCTGTAAGAGACATACCGAGCCCTGACCATCACATTTCCTCAATCACTGCTTCAGCTTCATCATTGGCCATAGATGATGGCCCACAACCTAAAGAACCACGTACATCTCAGACTTTCTCTTGTCCATCATATGGTAATGCTTTTGAAGCTGGTGTAGAAGATAACTCTGAAAACTTGCAAGAAAATCAGACCAAATTTTTGTTTGTAAATACCCAAGAAGATGATAAACCCAGTGCAGAAGGAGGGGATGGTAATAAATATTTTCCTATTTTCACCAAAAGCCCATCCAATAGGAAAATTGCAGAGTAAGTAGTCGATTTGAAAACTCATAGAATATGAAATAAATTTGTACACATAAATACACATATGCAGATACGGGTTGTAACTCATAAAGGTCTGGCACAAGTATAAGGGTGAATTTTACACTTCAGGACACTGAAGGCGTACATATGAACATGAATCCATAACAACCTCATTTCTGACATACAGCTCTGATTTCCAGGCTACTGGCCCAGCTGATGTTTGAGCATGAGAACTTTCTGCCAATGGCTTTTCTTGCATTGTGTTGTTAACCCTTCAGTTATTCAAAGCAATCTTCCCCAGTGGTGGCATAATCACCAGTGGTGGTTTTCATAACAGTCACTTGATGGCAGAAAAAAATCCTCATGCTATCCTTAAATCTAGATGTTAGCAGTTCAGCATTAATGTGTGGTCAGGCATTATTGGTAATTTGTTTTCCAGGCTGTCACATTTTGCCACAGAATCTAACAGGAGGCAGCTGCTGGCACTTCTTAGCAATGTATGTGTCTATCTTATTCCATTAGTGACTGGAGAACATGTTTGTTCATGTTAGTACTTCAGCATGATTCAGTCTAACAGCTTGCAAATTTTTGGACAACATGTACCCTGCCTAAATCATAGCTGTACCTTCTGGCTGAAATAAGTGAAAGAATTTTATGTTAATCAAAAACACTTTTATTCATTGCTACTTCCCTTGTAGGTATTCACTCACATTCCCTCGCAGTGGATAATGTCCGTGCATTTTCCTGTTTGGTCTCTAGAGATTGCGGTTTGAGATCAGAATAATTTTGGTGACTTGGCAGTTTATGCCTTTGTAAGACAGTTGAAACTGTTTAGGGATTGATAGTGGAAACTAGTATTGTAACACCAGAATGCAAGTACAGTTTTGATAATGGTGAGAAGGTAACATTAAGCCAGCAGTACACAGTCTGTATAAACTGTCACTTAATGATACTTTTGGAATGTATATATTCCTGTGTGTGATTAAATCACACAGAAGTGCTCTTCTGTATGATTCGGGGGAAAGGGGGGTGGGTCAGGAACATCAGGAACATTTGTGTTAGTGGTGCAGAATTTTTGTGATGTAATACCAGGAGTTACCTTATTTATTCACATAATTTATGCACCTTTTCAGACAAGACACTTTGGAAATAAATCACTGTTTTTGCTCTGGATAAATTTTGACCAAGGCATAACTTTGCAAAACAAATTGTCACGTGTTGTGTGTATGTCACAGGATAAATAACTTCACGCCGTTCTGGATCTAGCAAATTTATTCCACTCGCTCTTACGTTCATACAATTCACAATTACACAGTTACTGCCCTCGGCAGTATCACATTTACTTCTCCTGCTTTAGTCACTGCCATGCACTCGATACAACCCAACTCAGCAACTGCTAGATTGAAGCTGGCTTGACGACTTCACGATCCACACTGTGTCACACCTGATCACACACACTGTTCACATACTGCTCATCTAGCTTTTTATACCGTTCCCTGTTGCCTCATGTTACCAGCGGTGGCCCCTTGTTACGTCACTGCAGAAGAAGGGGACGGAGTGTTGACTGGCCTGTTACCGTAGCAGCGGCAGTTACTCTGATGTTACATCACCGGGGCAATGGTTGCCTGACACAGTTGCTCTTGTGTTACGTCACTGCAGGGGAGGGGATGTTTACCAAGTTTTGTGCCGTCCACGTCACATTGCTCCGTTCTAAAGGTTGTTCATCCCAAACAGCCTAATGTTACATCTCTGTTCTTTTTTTTCTGGTGTTCATCTTTGGGGTGCTACCTCCACTCCCCTTCTTCAAAGGTGCTTGTCCCAAACACTTCCATGGTCCAGTGTTCATTGATCCGTTGTATCACATTCATCCCTCACTTTCATTCTCTCCTCATTCACTCTGGGGAGGCCGGTGTTTCTACATTACCAGTTCCTCCTCTGCTTGCAGTCTCTTTTTTCCCATTTTGGAGGGGTCTACCCCTCCACAAGGTACATTTTCCTATTTTTCGTAACCTGTTGGAAGTACTGACTACTTGTTTTGCGATCTTTCCTCTGAAAATCTCATTGAGGGTCTTCTTGCTTGTTTCTCCACTTTCCAGGTGCGATCGCTGTTCTGATCCACAGCCTTCGATATAGTTCACAATTTCCCTCTTCTTTCTCATGTACAGTGGCCGCTTGCTGCCTCGGTCCTTTGTTCCTCTTTTCCCTTCATGGTGCGTCCGTACATTTTTCCTGAGCAGCCCTACTCTCTGGGTTGCTCGCTCAGTCACGGCCATGGTGCAGTTTCTCCCAACAACGTTCTCCTTCTGCCATGCCACTTTTGCACGGTGGGTTGTTCCTCTGCGGGTGATGGCCAATTTCTTCTGGGATCCACACTTTTCCCGTGTCTTATCCTTCGGTTCCTGGCAGCAGCGCTTTTCGGCCAGTTGTTGGTCCCTACACCATTTCTTCTTCGGTTCTTCGAATAGCATTACTGTGGCGTCTTCTACGGGACCTCTCGTTGTTCTGCCACCTCAGGTTTCCTGTCCAGTGAGGTCAGCTCTTCTTCTAGACATGCCTCCATCTCTTGGCAGGCCATCGTCTCTTCTTCTAGATGCGCCTCCGTCTTTTCTCGGCAGGCCATCGTCTCCATGTCTCTTTCTGGTTTGGTTTCGGCAACCATCTCCTTGTGGCTGGTGTCCATCTTTTCTAGCCTGGCGGCCATCATTTTCATCGTTTCTTTTAGGTTTCTTCGATCGGCCTTCCTCTCTTCCTGCTCGATATCCCTATTGGCCTCCATTCTGTCTTGATAGGTTCTGAACATTTCTTGCGTCTGCACTTGGTCGGCATCTGCTTTTACTTGGTTGGCCTTAGTCTCTTCCTTGTGGGTCTTTCTAATGGCGTCCATTTTCGCCACAAGGCGTTCGAACAATTTTTTCCATCTCCATTTACTTCTCCTGCTTTAGTCACTGCCATGCGCTCAGTACAACCCAACTTGGCGACTGCTAGATTGAAACTGGCTTGGCGACATCACAATCCACACTGTGTCACCCCTGATCACACACTCTGCTCACATACTGTTCAGCCAGCTTTTTATACTGTTCCCTGTTGCCTCGTGTTACCAGCGGTGTCCCCTTGTTACGTCACAGTGAGAAGTGCTGTTACGTCACCGCAGCAATGGTTGCGTGACGTAGTTGCTCTTCTGTTACATCACCGCGGTGGAGGGGATGTTTACCGAGCGTTGCACCGTCCACGTCACAATATGATTAACATTAAATGGATTATGACAACACAGTATCCATGCTGTGTCACCACATTGCACTCAACTTTAATGATATTTTATGCAAAAATTATGCATCAGTCAGTTTTTGTCCAGGGACATTTTTGTCTCAGCATTTTGAGGAATCAGGTGGTGGAGTAAACAGGCACAAATATCCATGTCATGGTGCCACGTAGGATTGAGTAGTAATTGCTTTTTCGATGAAAGTTTTTTTAAGGGTCATTTTCATCTCAGTGTTCAGCAAGGAATTGTGTGGTGGAGTACGTGGATGCAACTATCCATACCATGCTGTCTTACTGCATTCATCCATAATTGTATCAGTCTAAAGTGAAAAATTTACTCTAAAGAGAAATACAGTAAAACTTGGTTATAGCAACATCGGTTTCTGCGACACCTTGTCTATTCCGTCAAATATTCAATGGTACGAACTAATTCCTCATAAAGCAACTGTTTTTATACCTTGCTTAGTACGACATGCACAAATGCATCAACCTCGTATGTAACGTCATTTTCATTCCTGAATTTCTCTGATATCGTGGAAAAGTTCGATGTGTCTGCCCACCCTCACTTTCTCTACTTGCTGACGTGACTGTCCTGGAAGAATACGACCGCGGGCTGCAAGAGGAGCGTGGGTTTTATGCAAAAACAAGGGTGTGGGGTGGGACTGCGTGAATAGTGCAAGAGGACGCGGCAGGTTGTTAACTGCATTCCTTTCCTAGAATCTCGTCTAACAGGACCTCACATTGTCTACTTACCCTATAGTGTTCCTGCCTAAACCCAGAGAAGTGCAGTAGTGAAAACATGGCAATGAAAAGGAAAGTTTTAAGCATTGAAGAGAAAGTTAAAGTGATTCGTGAAAGAGAAAATGGAAGGAAAAAAGCTGATGTATGCCGCGAATTTGGTTTGGTGAATTCTACAGTACAATCGATATGGAGAATCCATATTAATTCTACGTTAATGTTACATTAGTCTGTACTTAACTACGTATTTCACTAAAAAATGCAACATTTTAACTCTGTTTTTGGTAGATTTTTACGTGACTAACATAAGGCTACTGTGGAAGTGTCCATTTCGGTTACAACGAACGACACTATTTTTAGGTCCCTTTGATGACGTTATAACCAAGTTCTACTGTATTAGTATATTTTATGCACCACAAATTTTAGGCATTTTTGGAGTAAAGAAGTCCATAAGTTTTGTAAGTACAGTAGTTATACGTACGTAAGTCAATAAGTAAGTTACAAACGGATATAGAACTTAAACAAATAAGAGTACTGATTTGAAAAATTGTTTTATTTCTCAACATAATCTCCCTGTACATTGAGGCACTTGTCCCATCATTTCACAAGCCCCTAAAAACCAGCAGCATAAGATTCTTTGGGCTTCTGTCAGAGCCAGGCAGTGACTTCCCTTTCTACAGCTTCATCGTCAGGAAAATGGAAGTCACTTGGAGCAAGGTTGGGGCTATATGGAGGATGCTTGAGGACTTCTCACTTGAAATTTCGCAGCATCTCATTTGTCTTCTTGGCAGTATGGGGACGCGCATTGTCATGCAAGAGCAACACACCTTTGGCCAGAAGTCCTGGTCGCTTCCGTTGAATGGTCTTACAAAGTTTCCTGAGGATGTTACAGTAGGAGTCTGCATTTGCAGCATTTGTTTGGCCCTCTTAAACATCATCTTTCGGCTGAACATTTTCCTGATGAAGCTGTAGAAAGGAAGTCACCACCTGGTTCTGACAGGAGCCCAAAGAATTTTATGCTGCTGGTTATCGGGGGCTTGTGAAACAATGGGGCAAGTGCCTCAATGTACAGGGAGATTGTGTTGAGAAATAAAAGCATTTTTCAAATCAGTACTCTTATTTGTGTAAGTTCTATATCCATTTGTAACCTACTTATTGACTTACCCTCGTATAACATAAAGGGTACTGGAATTCCTGATTATGTTATATAATGTAGAAAATGAAATTTCTCATGTTTGGTTTTCACATGTATGCACCTTCTTCATATGTCCTCAAATATTCGTTTTTCTCTTTTATTTTATTCTTAGAAACCTTATGCTTCTTAGGCGATGGTACCCATAATTCACACACCAGAATGAGACAAATAGCATTCAGTGGAACTGCACACAGCAAATTATGTAGAGCAGTGAGCGTGACATCCAAACGTGTGTTTTAAACACATGAAACACATTTTTAAAGTTGTTTCTTCTACAATATCAATACTATATTTAGTACTTTTTGTTTACACAACAAATATTATCCTTTTGGGAGATTTATTAATGTTTTTTTTTTTTGCTTAGTGTGACCAATGTGAAGAGAGTGCGTGCAAACAAGCGACCATGGAGGTCAATTGGAGATAACCAGTACATCATTGATGCAGGTCAGAAGAAGTTTGGTGCAACACAGTGCAAAGAATGTTGCATTGTATACCAAATTGGAGATCCAGATGATGAGATGTCGCATCAGAAGTACCACAACAGTGGCCATGACCTGAAGTACACTGTATGTAGTTAGATGTTTTAAGATTTTGGAAGATTAGTATATAGACTATATCTGTGTGTCTAGAATATGTTTGCTTTGTTGCTCCTTTCCTTTATTATCATACTATATTGCCTGTAATATTAACATATTAGAAGTATTCTTCTTTCCATCTGTGATGATAAACCAGCACTCCCATTATAAAGGAGTAGCCTGATTTCTTTATTTTGAAAAAATAAAAGGGGCCTTGTGAGTTCACTTTGCTGACTGTCTATATATCCCCCTACCCCACAGTTTTTTTTAGTGTTATGAGATCACCTTGCTCTCTGTGTATCCCCTCTTAATTTTTTTGTTTTATGTGCAATCCATGTCATATTAAAGGAAAGTGGCTATTCTTCCCAGAACTTCCTGTATCCATTTCTTCCCACTGACTTTGAGTGGGTTCCTTTCTTTACCTGCACTCCATGGGTCTCTTCACCACCCTCGTAACTTGCCTATATAATGAACCCCTTCCTGAACTTGCACACTTCAACCCTGAAGAGGGAGGCAGCTTGTTCCTCTGAAACATAGGTATCTGCATACAAGAATAAGCAGTGTCTCAAACCAGAAGACCATGGTCTTAACAGTCATTGCTGTGGAAATCTCCAACAACAAAATTAATTAAAAGTGAGTGAAGTAAGGGACTACTTTTCTTCTTTCCTTTTGCAATGTAATAATATTTTGTGTCTCTCTAAATTAATCTAAATACGTGTATTATATTGCGGCATGTAGATCCATTGCTAGGCAACAGCCACGAAACAAGCAATTACACCCGTCCCCACACACTTTACTTCACGCGGTGTATGCCTCGACTAAATTCAGTGGAATGAGTCTTATATCCCAGGGGTACACGGGTGTTGGCTCGCTTACGTCGTTTTTTTTTTTGGATGCGGGCTCGAATGGTTAACCCCCTAGCACATGTTCCACAGGAACACCCTCACTACCTGGCTTCTACTCACTGACTCCTCGGCTTCCACTCACTAACTCCCTCCTTACCCACGCTGCTGCTTCCAGAAACCCTGGTCTTGGCCATCTCGAACTTTCCACTGGGAGGGCTTCATGACCAAATGCACGGACCCCTTCCGGTCTGCAAACCTTGTAGAAGTTTCTCGAAGCTTTGATCCACAGGTCCTCCACCCCCACAGGCACGGACGAAAGAAGGTATACCTACTCCCCCTTGAATGCAATGGACTCACCAACTTCCCTTCTGTCCCTCGCAACAAAAGGCCAGTTCAGAGGACCATGATCCCTCCGGGGCATCTCATTTCTACAGCTAAACTTAACTGTTACTTACAAACAAATAAGACTTTCCGTGAAGGATGCGTACG